ACTGCCTCGGAAACCCAAGGAGGGGTCGCTATGAGTCGGGGGCGACTCGACGGCAAATAACAACAACAACAACAACAGTTTGAACTTGAGGACCTATTTCCTGTGGATATAAATATTAATCCTCTTTATTATTGGGTGTTTAAGAATGATTACTAAAAACGACAGTTAAGCCTAAGCCATTTTTGACTGGTATAATGCTGTTCATCCTTAGCTATATTTGAAAGACTTATCTTCATGGACCTGAATTGAGTTTATTAATCAATAACATAGGTATAAGTTTTGCAGAATGGAAGAAAGACAGTTCCCTCTCAGTTGGATAGGCTAGCTTTAAATTTCCATGCACTTACATGCAGACTCTGAAACTGTTGCTACTACATTTAACCTACAAGTTGGAAAGCAAGAAAACTTGTTTTCAAGGCTTTGCACAGGCCAAAACCTGGCTCCTTCAAAGCCCTTTGTTGTTTTTAGTTGCTTTCCAGTGTGTTCTGACTCATCAAAACATTATCCACAATAAAATTAAATGTTTTAATAATATTAAGTTACCCTGTTGCAACCATTGTGTAGTGTTTTCCAATCTAGGGGCTCATCTTCCAGCAGTATATCAGGGAGTCTTCTGTTGAGAACCATAGGGTTTTCATTGACTAATTTTCAGAAGTAAATGTCAGACCTTTCTTCCAAGTCTGTCTTAGTCTGGAAGCTTCACTGAAACCTGTCCATGATGATTAATTGTGCTGGCATTTGAAGTACTGGTGGGATAGCTTGCAGTATCAAAGCAACACTCAGGCCACCAGAGTAGAACAAACTGATGGTTTAAAGTTCTGAACTATGTGATACTCACCTTGTGATCTGCAGCACTCAACACAAGATGTGCATGGATCCAGAACCCACAAAGAGCTGTGTGGACTGCTTGACCTAGACGCTATAAAGAGCTGAATTTAGGGGGATGTAGAATAGTAAAGAGGACATTAAGAAACTATGGGGAGATCCCTCCAAATCTTCCAGTCAGCATGGCCAATTGCCATCAGTTCCACCCCCAGAATGTAATTCCTTAAAAGGATTGTATTGAAGTTATTACACAAGCAAAGATATTAAACCAAAAACCAAACCAAACTCACTGCCATTGAGTTGATTCCAACTCATAGCAACCCCCATCGAGTTTCTGAGGCTGTAAACCTTTGCAGAAGTAGATTGCCCCATCTTCCGTCCATGGAGTGGCTGGTAAGTTGAGCTACTGGCCTTCTGGCAAGCAGCCAAGTGCCATACCCACTACCCCAACAGACTTCCTTAGGAAAGATATTACCCACCTAAAGATTCATAAGGGATACAGGCATTCAACTTTACCATCTGCACAGTTTTCCCACCTGCATTTATGCTTAGGAATACAGGTATCAGCTGTGTTGAAGTAGGTAATGTATTTGTAAAATGGATTTATAAAAATCAATAAGGGAAAGAATCAGAGTGGTGGAGGACACAGAATAACTTTAACTGAGCTGGCCTTTTACATATACTGTTGTTGTCATGTGCCGTCGAGTCGGCCCCGACTCCTAGCGACCCCTCCTTGGGTTTCCGAGGCAGTATCACTACAGAAGTAGGATTGCCCAACCTTCCTTCCGAGGAGTGGCTGGTGGATTTGAACCGCCAGCCTTCTGGTTAGCAGTCAAGTGCTTTAGCCACTATGCTACCAGAGCTCCTTTACATATACTAGGTCCTCATTTTAAAATGGAATGCCTTATAGGAATGCTAAGACTTTTAATTTGCTAGAGTGAATTACTTTGATCAATTGCCTTTCTCTTAACACTTAACTGACATGAAAACAAAAAGAGAATTAAAAGGAGTCTCCAAGGGATCATTTTGGAAGCTGGGACATGTCATGGTGGCAAGCATCAGATGGCAGTACTGGTCTTGAGAAAAAGGGTTGTCAGAACCAGGGAACTTCAGTGATGGAAGAGGTGCTAGGAAGAGAGTGGCAAAAAGCCACAACTTCTCCCTTGTAACTTTCCCTGGTGTCAGTTGTCAGTACAGAATTTCTGCAGAATCATACCATCTACATTCTTCCTGCTGCACCCCATTTACATCCTCTAAAATGCCCATTCTTTTAAAATTGTCCTCTCTTGCTTTAATACTGAAAAATATAGGGGGCTGTTTTTATAAATGTGAATTTATTTTCTGGTGTCTGCTTATGAAAATAGAGTTTGGTACATTAATTTGTTATTTTATCTTTCACTGGACTTTTTCATTTTAGGCACTTTTCAAAAGTGTCTTCCTAAGACCTCTCAGGAGCTACCATCACCATTTCTCATTCATGATTAAATTATTCCCTACCCTCAAAAACATCTCTTTTGTAGGCAAAACTTCCTGTATAAAATTATTACCAATCCTGGCTGAAAAACACATAATGTACATAGGAACAGGATGGTATCTAACCATTTACATCCATCACTATCTTATTCTTTTTGAAATTTCAGTATGGGTGGGTAGTAATAAAATGCAACATTTTGTACACCAAGTATAATCTAAAAATAGAAATAATTATTAGAGAAAATAAGTCTTAATAGAAATTTTCATTTTTATTTTATTTTTTATATTACATAGGCTCTTATTCAAGAAAATGGAACATAATTAAAAAAATAGAATTTTATTTAAATTCTTCTGAAAATAAAAATAGTTATAAACATGTATCAGCACAATAAGTTTTTATTAAAAAAACTAAATAAATAATTCTTTTTAATTATTTTGTTTCTTAAATTTTAAAAACTTGTTTCTGTTTGCAAATTCATTCCAAAAATACTTAATGTTTTAAACTTCATTAATCAAAATATTAATACTTACGTCTAACAATAAAACTCAGGTTACCCTAACTCATGTGCCTTAACTCAATTACATAATAAAAAGGGCCCAATAAATCACTGTGCAACAAAGAAAATTTGTATTGCATCTTTTTATCAGACATATCATAAAATTAATTCATGATAAGTATACAGTTTGATGATTTTTTTTTTTTTGCAAATTTATACAATTGTGCAATGATTGCCACAATCCAATTTTAGAATACTTCTAACAATCAAAAAAATCCCTGTCTGCACTGGAAGTCAGTCATCCTCTCCCATCTCAGCTCTAAACAAATGTTGATGTTGATATTCTTTCTCTCTCTCATATATATATATATATATAAAAGTGTTTTTTTTAGTAGAAATTTCAGACACATAGAGTCATATGTTTGGTTTCTAGCTTCTTTTGCTTTGCCTGAGGCATTTGAGATTCTTCCACTTTTTGTGTATATCAATAGTATTTTTCTTTTTTGTTGCAGCTACTGAGATGATAATTTGTTTTGTGTCATTTATTCTATCAATATACTATACTTTGTTAATTTAGTTCCTGATATTAAACCAACCTTTTATGTGTTGCTGGATTCAGTTAGCTAATATTTTGTTAAAGTGTCTGTGTGTTTGTTCATAAGGAATATTGGTCTGTAGTTTTCTTGTGATGTGTCTCTGGTTTGGTGTCAGTATAATAGTGGCCTCACCAAACGAGATAAGAATTGTTCCCTTTTATTATGAAGGAGATCGTACAGTATAGGTATTATTTCTTTCTAAAATGTTTGATAGAATTTATCAGTGAAACCCTCTGAGTTTAGGTATCTCCCTTCCCCAGAAAGATATGTAATTACTAATTCAATGTCCTTAATCTTGTATAGGAGCTCTGGTTGTGTAGTGCCTAAGGCACCTGACTGCTAACCAGAAGGCTGGTCGTTCAAACCCACCAGCCACTCCTCAGAAGGAAGATGGGGCAATCTACTTCTGTAGTGATACTGCTTCAGAAATCCAAGGAGGAGTCGCTGTGAGTCAGGTCCGACTTGACGGCACATAACAACAACAACAACAAATCTTGTATAGGTCTGTTTTGATTTTATATTTTTGCTTTAATAAATTTTAGTACTTTGTGTCTTTCCAGAAACTTTTCCACTTAATCTAAGTTGTCTATTTTTTGACATTAAATTGCTGAAAAAATTCCTTATAATCCTTTTAATTCCTGTAGGGTCTGTAATGATGTCCCCTCTTTCATTACTTTG